TTAGATGGCAAATATGGCTTAACCAATATGAATTTGATGTGCAGCATATTGCAGGAAACAAGAATGCCCTCGCAGACTTTTTATCACGGGAATTTAACGACTTTTGATAAAATGTTTACAGGATTAAGGCTCAACGGAGCACATAACAAGTCACAGGTGGTGACAATAGGGAGTTGCTTCCCAGGCACTATTTGTGCTTGATAATGCATCATCTGAAATGGATGAATTAGAGCAGCTTCGGTTACAAGAAGGACTTCTAGTCTAAGAACTTGAATTGGTTCGCGCCAAAATCAAGTATGTAAGCTTGATTAAAGTTGAACAAAAAAGAGATTCTACTGTCTCTATTCCAACAATAGAACAAACAAATATGTAGCAAGCCTAGCTTGTGAACAAAAAGAGGAAATTTCATCTCCTCCAGATCTTATAGATCTTAAAGATGAAACTAGTCCAGAGCAAACGGCTACTGGTAAAGACTCATCAAATCCGTTAATAGCTGGCAACTTGCTAAAAGCGGCAATTGGTATTAAAATACCAACAACGTTGGATAATTCTGATGCTTTAAACCTCAGACCGAACGGTCGAACCTCTGTTCCTAAACAGATAAAATCACTTGACGGTGATAAGGGAATTCAAATCCCAAATAAAAAAGATATAACATATTATGTCGTGTTTAATGGCCCAAATGCAAGTATCTATAAGGACTGAGAGATTACCAAAAAGGCTATAAGTGGTATTTCTGGTGTTTCCCACAAGAAGTACAAAAGTTTCTTTGAGGCTCGTATTGCAGCGGATCAGTACTCAAGAATAAATGCAATAGCTCCCCTTGAGCTAATTTGCACAGCAGATGGACTTAAGCCCAATACATTCATTGCGGCCCTAAAAAATCCAAGGAAACAGGAAAGGCTTCAAACTCTTGGAAAAATTCCCAAGAACCCAATCAAGAAGTCCAACAAGATGAACAAATTAATCCGGGCCAACTTTCAAAAGAAGGCTTGGACTACTGGATCAATTTGGCCCGAAACAGTGGTGAAGCATAAATCTTGGCAGATAAATACTTCACAACCAATGGAAAGGACTTAAGGTTCTTTAATTTCATAAAAAACGGAAACCCAGAAATGGTTATTAAAGCGTTTGAATATGGGATGGTGAAAACCATATATCCCAGCCAGACCTTAAAAGAACTACAAGAACTCCCTTCTAATGTTCTTAAGGCAATAAAAAACTACAGGAAAAAATGCATCCAATGTGACAAGGACATTTTTCTAAAAATCATGAGTTCGGTACCGATCTGGTTCAACGACGTAGTAATCCCAGCAAAACATTTAATCATGCTAGGGGTAAGTTCTGGTAAAAAATTTATTAAACCAGAAACAAGAACATTCCAACCAGTCAACCTCGATGATGTTGGACTCAGTCGATATGAAACTCTAGTCGAAAAAACAATGGAGTTTAATTCGGACGATAAAGTGTTTGTGAATTACCAAGACAAAAATTATTTGGTATATTCAAAATCACTAAAAATTATGAATACTGAAGATGAAATCAAGATTATCAACTTCCAAAAAGGTTTGTTACAAGAATTTCATCATCCAAAATCTGTAAGAAGATCAAGAAGTGTAGAGAAGCCCGAGGTAGCACCTACAACTGTCCAAATACAAGTTGTAAAGCAGCAATCATGGTAGAACCTACCACTTTGAAAAAGGATAAAGATTCCCAGACAATGTCAACATCATCCAGCTCACAAATGGAATAAAAGTAAAAAAGATAAAATGTGAGTGCATTGTGGGGGAGTGTGTAATTGAGTTGATTGGCCAGAAGTTTCTCGGTGAAATGCGTGCCAAAGTGGCTCACGTCAGCAATGACGTAAAACATTTTGTATCGATCCTCATTCTTTAGTCTATAAAAGGATGAGTTACATTTCAATAAGGGACATCAGAAAAACAACCCAGAGTCTAGTTTAGAACTTTTTCTTTCTTTTATGTCTATGAGGGAATAGTAAAAGCTTCCTTCTTAGGAACTTAAGATTGTAATCAGAGGCTTGGATGAATAATTAATATTCATATAAGGACTCTTGTAAAATGTTTGAGTTTGAATAAACTATCCAGTTTGTTTGGACTTGTGTTAAAGATCATATCCTGGAGGCCGACTAGCTAATCAAAGGGAAGAAGTACCAGAGGGGAAAACAGTACCTGTGGCACAGGCTTGGAACCGATCATTCAGACATGAAGATTTAAAAACAAACACAGAGGTATGATATTTATCCAAACTATAAAATATTTTACAAGAAGTTCCTTTGAATGTTGTAGTTATGTCTTAGATAGCTCTCTGAGAAGCAGTTTAAAGTTTCCAAGAACGGACTTTTAATTTATCAAGAAAGGAATTTCAAAAATTATTTAAAGGTTTTCAAAACCAAAAATTAAACAAATCTTTTGATAAAAATAATCTCTTCAGATGAGAAATAATGACTTTTGGCATCTGCCAACAAGAATCTCATATAGAGATACAAACGCTTTGAAATATCAGCGTAAACAATTAATAGATCTTCATAACCTGTTAAAAGTTTATCAAGAAGAATATGAAGACTTAGAATGAGAGTCAAAACTTGATTATCAAAGGGCATCACCTAAAGATAAACTGTTTGTTGTAAGAACTTACGGTTTTAGGTTAAATGGAAAGATGGCTAAAATTCTTTCTGTTCAAGAATCAATTAAGAAAGCAGAAAAACAAGCATCTCTTCTAGGAGCTGCCTAATTCATAGATTTAGTTTGAGTATTAAAACTCTAAACTTAATATGGAAAATAATAATTTCTGGCATATGCCAGTGAGAGTCGTGTTTTCAGATATAAATTATCTTAAAACACTAAGAAAACAAATAATTCGGTTAACTATTGAGTTAAAAGAAGAAGAACAAAACTTGAATAATTATATTCAAGCTTATATTTCTGTGCCTATAGAAATAAAACTAGCAACTATAAGAAACTATGTTGATAATGTCAACAGAATGGTCTCGTACATTCTTGCATTAAAAAAGTCTATAAAGAAAGCAAAACAACAAAGTTCACTTCTTATGGCTTAAAATGGGTTATTCAGATATCCTGTATAAATTCCGTACGGGAATCAGCCCGTCAAAAAATCTTGGTATCAGAGCCTGGTATCAAAGAAAAATCCTGTTGGATAATAGATCTTTTGCTCAATATTTTTCTGTATTCATTTTCTAATACGGAATTACAAAAACAGAAATACGAAAAACTTTGAAGAAAATTCCATCTTTTATAAGAAATAAAATTTCAACAATTCATCTAGGAGTAATAAAAATATTGCTTAAAGCTGAATTTCAAGAAGGGATTGATACTCCTATAAAAATGGCATTAATATTAATGACAGAAAAGACTATATCTTAGGAGCAGCAAGGGGAAATCTTGCTTATGGTAAGTTTATCTTTACAGTTTATCCTAAATTTGGCATGTCTATTCAGACTGCAAATTTAGATAAAACTCTATCTTTTATTCACCATTTTGAAAGAGAAAATTTAATGAACCTGGAGATAAAGTCTTTAGTGTTATATATGTTATAAGCTATGCTTTGGCTAACAGTCATCATAGTATAGATTATAGAAAAAAATCTTATATTGAATTAGAAGATATCTTCTCGGATATCGATTCAATAGAAGAAAAAACCTTCTGTGAGTTAACACCTCTGGAGGAACACTGGGCTATTGATATAGCTAAAGGAAAAACTTTAATAGGAAATAAAAATCCTAAAAATATCAAAGAAAATTCTTTGATCATAGGGGAACCAAGTAGATTATCGGTCTCAGAGAGACGCTCTCTAACTGATATGTCGGAAAGAATAGATAATTTATCCGGTATGTTAAAACAATTAACTTCGGGATAAAAATTTCATCAAATAACGAAAAAGCATTCATTTAAAACAAGGGTGCTTTGGACATTCTATTTGTTACAATTTATACAAAAGTCAAAAAGAAAATACATTAAAGGCAAGACAAATCTTAACCCTTAATCTATTTTCATCTCAACCATACGCTTCAGTTTGTCAACAAATGTTGTTAAACAACATTGCACACATAGCATAACCTACTAGAGATGTGCCAATAAGTTCAAAAGAGAGCCATAAAATTTTCAAAAGAATAAGCAACCTTCTCTGAATTTCACGAAGTAATATATGCGAACACAATATATCTTCCAAATAGGACACTCGAGGCCTTCGAGTTCTTCAACATCCTTATACTTGAAGTATGTTTCCATCACCCTAGATGCATGTGTGTAGTTGGATATCTTCAGAATCTTCATTTTTTGAAGTATGTAGGAACATACTTTCTTTAAATAGTGATTTTGAACTCTTGTTTTAGATCTTTCTATCAATTTTTTCATAATTAGCCTTACACTCCCAAGAATTGTATAGGATCATTCTCATAGGGGCGGGCAGCTAGTCTTCTAAAGTCTTCTCTACGTCCTTCCTATAAGATAAGTAGAGTAAGCCATCCAACAAATTAATGAAGAGACATATATGGATAAATGAATGTATAGATACATACCATGTAATTCTTCATCTAAAAGGTTTAGGACTTCATACTATATATTGTATTAATTATAAATCATGTATAATAAATAAATAGTAAAGGAACAAATAAACGAACAAGTAAAAGAATAGAAAATTTTTACATTTAATTTGTTTTGCAGAATGCCTAAAAAAAATCATCAATAAAATTCTTAAATATGACCATGTCAAATCAATATTTTAATAACATAGGAAAAAAAAAATCTATTCATTTATGGAGAAAAACGAGATGAAAAATAAATTCTCACTGAACATAAAAAAAAAAATATATCCTATTATAATCACCATTTCTCTCTTTCAAACTGCCAGTGGAAAATATATTAGAAACTACATTTACAAAGGCCAAAAATGAGTGAGAAGAAGTAAAAAATCACCACATTCTGTTTTCTTCCCTTTCCTCTTTGAAAATAGCAAAATACACATCACGTCCTCACTAGATTCGGACTCCAGTTTCTCCAATCCAACTTCCCAATCGACCTGTTCCTCATCACTAGCACTTTCAAGTCGAAACCTCTCCACCGGCCATTGTTTCCCATTTTGCCCTTCTCCTCATATGCATATTTGTCCAGAGGCACAGTTTCACCAATGATGGCCTCCAACATTTCAGTAACCTCACTCATTTTAGGACGTGACCTCGGCTGCTTCATCAGGCATTTGTTGGCCAAGGAAGCAAGCTTCTGGGCAGACTTGATGCACTCATGTCCTTGGAGCCTCTGGTCCAAAATTAGGTGAAACTTTTTCTGGTCTGACACGTAAGGCCTTACCCATTCCAGAAGCTTCTGCTCTCCACGTGGCAGGTTTCTCTCCAGAACTCGCCTTCCTGTGATCAGCTCATATAGAACAACGCCAAAGCTCCATACGTCACTTTTGGTAGTTAGCCTACCTGTGTGCACGTACTCTGGGGCAGCATAACCTACTGTACCAACAACCTGGATGTAACATTTTCACAATCCACAAAGAGTGAATCAAATAATATCGACATATGATTTTTTTTTTTTTTGCTTTTTGGGTGAAGTATCGAGAAACTGGACTCACAGATGTTGAGATATGGCCCGATCCAGCAGGTGGGCCCCGCCTAGCGAGTCCAAAGTCCGACAGTTTGGCATTGAAGTCCTCGTCTAGGAGGATGTTAGAAGTCTTCAAGTCTCTAAAGATTAACTGATTAAATGAGAGAGGTAAATCAAAAGCAGATAAAAGGGGTAGGAAATCAGCAAGTTTCATGTTAATACATGAATAACTTAGTAACTACAGACAAAAAGAATGCTCAAAGATCAAACAACAAGACTTTTCAGCAAAAACAAACTGTCTCCAAGTATAACTTATCCAGGAGAAGGATGATTCATGTTTGGTAACTTTTGTCCATTGAGTTTACCTTGGGGAGTTTGGTGCAGGGATAAACTAAGATACAATTAAGTCAGAANAAAAAAAGGATGAAAAGAAAAGACAAAGTGCTGGCCACCTGAAATTCCATTTCTTCATGAAGGTATGCCAATCCACGAGCTGCATCTTGGGCAATCTTTAATCTCATTATCCACGGGAGAGTGGTAGAAGCTGAGCGGGTCAATAAATGGTCCTCCAAGCTTTTATTATGCATAAGCTCATAGACCAGCAGACGCTGGATACCCCTTTCATCATCGTCCGCACAATATCCAATTAACTTCACAAGATTCGGGTGTTTCACCACACCCAGAAAATTGACTTCATTTATCCATTCCTTATGCCCCTGATAACTAGAAGATTAAAACACTCTCTCATTGATAGAATTACAGTTATTTGCAGTCTATTGCTTAAAACATAAAAGTTGTAAAATGCGTGATGGATTTGATCATAATTCTGAATGCAGTGGAAGTTGAGTCTTTGACAAGGTAGCCTATAGGTGACATATTGAGTTATTGACATAAGGAATAGACTACTCTAATAAAATTAGCCGTTTCAAACAAACCAAGCTATCAAATCTGCTTCACTTTTCCCATCTGGGCAAAAACCTAAAACGAAAGGCTTATTAGCAACACAAATGGATAAGCATTAGGGCATGTATCAAATACATCAAAAGGATTCATTGTTAACATCTTCATCATCCACAAGATCATTAAGCGTCAAAAATGAACTTTCACAAATTAAGTCCTCTGGAAAAAAGCTAAAGGGAAGCCACAGAAATAGCAAAAATTGATGAAGTACATGCCTGGCATCCGTTTCGATTCAGCTGCTTGATAGCAACATCCATCTCGGACTTCAAACCCGACCCTAGATCCGGCAGCTCAATCCGGCCCCTGTAAACGCACCCGAACCCACCTTCGCCAATCATGAGACTACGGCTGAACCCCCGCGTGGCCGATTTCAGCTCCGAGAAGGAGAACACGCGCAGATCATTGGCGCGACCCTGACTCAGAAAATCTCTGAACAACTCGGACGAGTCGGTCCAGTCTCGGCGCGACTCGGTGTCTACCTCGGAGCGCCGCGAGTCCAGGTTGGTGGACGCCACGCTAAGGGAACGGGCCCACGAGACCCTGCGCGAGTTGATGCCATCCTGCTCGTCGTCCTCATCGCCGCTGCTCGTGAAATGAAAGCACTTCATTACTCTTTTCTCACAACTTTGATTATCTCTGTCGTAAAGTGAATAAAATCACAAATTTGTTTGAAGATTGCTACTTTTTGTCCGTCATCGGTCTCTCTTCTTCTTTTTCTTCTTTTCTTGTAGTGGTTCAAATCAAATGGGCGGCGGCATGGAGCAGGCAAAATGAAGAGTCAAAGACATGAATGAATGGTGTTGGAGAAAAAACTTCCATTAGACGGGGTTTTGGGAAATTTTTGACCGTCTTATCAAAATGTTAGAAAAGTACCAACTCTTCTGTATTAGTTGAAGTTTATCCAAATATTTGGTTATGAAAAATAATAAAAAATAAAAAAATAAAAAAAAAAAAAGAAGAAGAAGAGAAGAGTAAGTAGGTATTGCTATTTGCTACTACTAAGTTTTAGTTGAGAAATTGAGGAGGAAGAGGTGCAGTTTTTGTTGGTTTTGGGTGTCGTGATGCAAAAGAGAGTTGAATTGAGTGGGACACAACACACAGTTCACGAGATGAGTGCAGGCAGCAGTGTCTGTGTAGTGCAGGCAGAGCAGAGCTTTCATTTGAAACAGTCAGCGGTGTTGTTTTTAGAAAAACCATTCTTCAAAGTTTCAAGAAAAATAATGTGGAGGTGCCACTTGCCACAAGCCTGTCAAAGGTCTACAACAATAAGAAATTGAATTGAATATTGATTAATTGATTTTTAACTATAGTTGTTTGTTTGTTTGTTTTTTTTTTATTTTTTTATTTTTTTTTATTTTTTATTTTTTTCACAGCAAACAAAGAAAATTAATATAACTTAATAATAAGAGTACATAGAGAAGCCAAATGACTAGTGCACCTTTAGGAGAACAACCTCGAATCTAAGGGGCACGGGAAAGGCTACCAGCCATACCTTCCCTGACAAGCACAACAGGCCAACACAAATAAACAAGTCCACACCAATACTACTAATAAGAACAAATAAAGTGAACATTACAATCATGAATTAGAGGAATTTACACCTCATACCACAAGCTATGATTTTTATTACATTTATATACCTCTTATATTTTTATTTATAAAATTGCATAAACAAGATAAAAATATTTCAATTATACCTCACATCTAAGATGTAAACGTTACCTTTTTTTCCTGGCATATTAAATGCTAATGATATCATTAATTGAAATTAAATATATACTTACTTAAATATGTACGACACTTTCTCCTTCTCTCTCTCTCTCCCCTCTCTCTTCGTCTCTCCATCTCCCTCTCCCTCTCTTCTTCTTCTTCTACAACGACCGGCGACCCACTGCTTGTTAGTTAATTTTTTTTTTTCTCTGTTTATATACACAAATTAGCACAGTTGTATCCACAACTCTCTTTGAGAAATTATAAAAAATAAATATATATCTCTCTTTGAGAAATGACGTCCCATGAGAACTTAGTACCTAATCTCACTTTCAATGTCAAGAACCTTGTAACCCTTCTTCAAAATCAGATTTTATGCACGTGTACTCAGCCGCGTTTTCCCCACATTAAATGACGCCCCAAAAAATCAGTTCCTTTCTCAAAAAATGCATCAAGACTTGGTGTCGAAGAAGGGAGAGCGTGGAAGGATAGGATGCGGCGGCGGAGGTCGTCAGAGAGGCGGATGATGCCGGTCTGGGAGCCGGATCGGAGGGCGGCAAGCTCGGGGGACGACGGTGTCGTATATGTACAGTATATGTAGAGTATTTACAGTTTGATATATATTTACATTTTATTTGATATATGTTGAGTATATGTTGAGTATATTTACAGTTTATTTGATGTATATTTACAGTTTATTTGATATATGTTGAGTATATAGAAAGTATATTTTCAGTTTATTGACATTTTATGTTTTGTATATAAATAAAATCATATTTGACTAAAAAATATTCAAAAACTGATATATATTACACTTATTAAGGAACTCTCGACCGTAAAAATATGATTAGGGTTTATGTTCAGTATATTTTCGATATATGCTGCAGTTTCTACCACCTCACGAAAAACAAGAATTTTATCGAGAGTTGTTAATTCACGTAATCCATTCACCACCGTAATATTTGCAAGATTTTTTTTCTTTTTTTTTCTTCTAGTAACCAAAACGGAAATCAAGCATTAGATAAAGGGAGGTTAGCATTAAATAGTAACTGAATCTAAGCATTAAAACAATTAAATGTTATCTTTTAGGTAAAGACATGATTAATTACAAGTGTATGGTATAATTGTAATATTTTCATAATCACGTAGGATAGATGAAAATTTTCCCATGAATTAATCTAGCCAAATCAAGGGGAATATTTTGGTCTTCAGCTGCAGCTTGGATACTTATCTTTTTAAATGATTTCACCCTCTCATGAGCACCATCTTGTAGCTGAAAGCCAGGCATCCTTCTCAGTGCTTGCACCCATAAGTTGTACACGCCACTCAGATAGTATAGCACCCTCTACTTCTATGGAACAAGTCACTGCAAATCTCCCTCTCTCTGAAATTGAAGCACTGATGGCCAGGACTGGCCTACTACTTCCACAAGAGCATTTCCTCTGGAGTGAGGAGAATTTGATCTGTGTCCCTGAGAGTCAAAATTAGAGTTATCTCCTTTGTTGCCCCATTCCATCCACTCAACTTTGGCTGTTTCTACAATCACTCTCTCATGGATCCAATCTCCTTTGTAAATCCACTTACTCCTGGCCTTCCAAATATTCCAAAGCAAATAAGCAGATAAACATATTCTATCTACCTTTAAATGTAAAGCCCCTGCATTACACAGCTCAAACCACCATCTCTGAAAGTTCACAACATTCTCAAATTCACTGCCCCATTGAATTCCACTTAATGTCCAGCATTTACTGGATTTAGGACATGTGAATAAAATGTGAGATACATCCTCAGGTACCTCCCCACAAACCCCACAAATACCATCAACATCAATCCCCTTTCAGTGAAGTTGTGTTTTAGCACTCAAAAATTCAAACCAACATCTCCATAAAATTTTTTTTACCTTCACCTTAATGGGCAGTTTCCATGTCATCTTCCACATTCTTGCAATTGCAGTTGGTGTCATGCTGGTACTGGCTTATCCTTGAGGTTGACTCTTAGATTTGAGAATAGTCTTGTACACCTCTTTTACTGAAAATTCGCCCTTTGGACCCCAGTGCCAAATAATTCTGTCTGCCTCTCCATGATTTGAAAGTGGAATTTTCATAATACACTCTGCCTCAGCTGGTTCAAAGGTTTGATAAATCAATTCACTGTCCAAATCTTTTTTCCTCTCTCTGAATAAGTCACAAACCTTAATGAATTTGTTTCTATCCTCCTCAAAATGACTTTAGAAATCCATGGAGTATCCCATATGTTTATAGTTTTCCCATCCCCTACAACATATCTAGCACCCAAACTAAATGCATCCCTTGCTCCTAACTAGCATTTCCAAAGCCAAGAATCAGTAGGCTTTGGCTTTACCTCCATAAAACTTGTTTTCCACAGATACTTCCCTATCATCACTCTACTAACTAGGAGGTTAGGTTTAGTCATGATTCTACATATCTGCTTAACAAGTAATGCATCATTGAATGCAGCAAAATCTATAAACTCCAGACCCCCTAGTTATTTCCCTCTATCCAATTTCCCCAATCAGCCCAGTGAATTTTATTTCCTCCCCTCTCATTTTTCCCCCACTAGAATTCAGCAATGTCCCTGCAAATTTTTTGAATGGTGCACTTATGGATTCTAAAGCAAGACATAATGTATGTGGGAAGGGCATTCATGACAGATTTGATCAATACTTCCTTACCTGCTTCACTAAGAAACTGATTTTTCCAATTTTTAATCCTGTTATTCACATTCTCACTCACAAAACTAAAAGTTTCTTTTTTGGATCGGCCAATGCCTAGAGGAAGCCCTAAGTACCTAGAAGAATTAACTCTAGAGACTCCAGTCAAAATCTCACAGATTTGCCTCACTGACTCGTCTTGGGTGTTCTTGTAAAACAGAATGGAAGACTTGTCATAGTTGACCAATTGCCCAGAATCATGGCCATAAGTGGAAAGAATGTTTACAATCTCAATAGCATGGGATTCATCAGCTTTACAGAATAGAAGAGAGTCATCAGCAAACAATAAATGAGAGATGCTAGGAGAATGCCTACTAACCTTAATACCAACAAAATGACCTGAAAGGCAGGATTGATGAATCCAGTTTGAGAAAGCTTCTGAGACAAGGATAAACAAATAAGGAGATAAAGGATCTCCTTGTCTCAGGCCACTAGTAGGCTGAAGAAAACCTAAATGAGCACCCTCAACATTGAAAGAATATGAAGTGGAACAAATGCAAGCAAGAATCCAAGCAATAAAAGTTTCACAAAAACCCATATGCCTACAAATCCTAGCCAACTTTGTCATATGCCTTTGCCATATCCAATTTTAATGCCTTATAACTCTCTTTACCATTTCTCTTACTGTTGAGATAGTGAATACTTTCATTTGCAATTATCACATTGTCAATAATCTGTCTACCAGGTATAAATTGTGATTGAGATGTAGAAATGCACAAGTGGAGAACAGGTTTCAGTCTATTAGCTATAATTTTAGCAATAATTTTGTACACAATAGTACATAAGCTTATAGGTCTAAAATCTGCCACTTTAGAAGGATTTTTTATCTTAGGAATCAAAGTAATCACATAATGGTTCAATCCCCTAGGCATTCTACCAACAGTAAAAAAATTATCCGCAGCCAAACACACATGGAATTTAACAGTGGGCCAAGAATGCTAGAAAAAAGCAGCAGTAAAGCCATCAGCTCCAGGAGCTTTGTCCTTAGCCATTCCAAACACAACATTTTTCACTTCCTCTTCCTTAATTTTACCACTCAAAACAGAATTAATCTCAGGGGTTATTGATTTAGGGATACCCTCCAGACTGCAAATTTGATCTAGGGGACTGAAGTCTTGAAAAGATTATCAAAAATAGTTCAACAGTTCAGTCACAGTTTCTTTAGAATTCTTGCAAGTAGAGCCATCAACTTTA